ATGCGACGTGACGCAGCTGCTGCGGTGGCTGGAGCAAAGCGGGGACGGTGCCTGACTACCGTGCTGCAGGCGATCTACGGCACTGCTGAGCCTGGTGTGGATTTACGCCGTCAGTTACTGCGTGAATGGGTGGCCTTGTGGTTGACGCAGCCCGGCCTGCACCCACGTATCTGCAAGGTATGGCCCATGGTGCTGGCGAGGCTCAAGCGGGGCAAGGCCGTCTGCTGGAAGGATGTTCGCGGTCCGATTGCTGCACTGCAAGCGACCTTGTTGCAAGTGGGTTGGGATCCCCAGTCGCCGTTGGTGTGGTCTCGGCCCTTAGCAGACGGCACGATCGATGATTGGATCTTCCCCTCCTTCGGTGATGAGCAGTTCGGCACGGCGGTACTGGCCCATTTTGATGATATGCTGGGCGCTTTCATGGATGATTGTGTCGCGCAGCAGTGGCAGTCAGCGGCTCATCATGCGGCGGGCGACGACTTGGCGGGCGGCGCCGACTTGACGACTGTGTCCATTGAGCTGAACCGCTTCGCCAAGAGGTTGCAGTTTGACGAGTGGTCGGCGGATGTCGCCGTGGTGAGCGGCGGCCAGTGGTCTCGTGAGAGGCAGCTCGCTGCAGGCTATGCTTGTCCGTTGCTGTGCCCCCGCTGCAAAGAGATGCCTGAGACTTTAGCGCACCGTATTTGGACGTGCTCAGCTAATTGCGGGCACGAGGACTTTTCAAAGACTGATTTTCTGGTTCCCCAAGCCCTCGCCAGCCTGGACGCGCAGCCCGCGTTATGGCTTCGAGGAGTCCCCTCGAAGGACCTTGTGGTGCCCAAGTTTGTGGAGAGCTCGGAGGCGGCCCAGAAGGTCCTTCTTGGGGAGGGGGCCTTGCTGGATCACTGTGTGGCCCCTGGAGCTCCCCCCTTGTTCATTTTTGGGGATGGTTCTGGAGGCGAGTACAGTTCGGATCCCCGTCGGAGGCGATGCGGCTCGGCTATCGTGGTGATGTGTCAGGATGCCTCGTCGCCCTTCTGGAGCCCAGTGTGTGGGGTGGCTCAGATTCTCGCGGGCAGGAAGCAAACTGTCCCGCGTGCGGAGCTGCAGGCTCTCTGTCTCGCCCTCGAGAACTCGAGGGGACCGATTTGCTATGTGACCGACTGTAAGAGTGTGACTGTTGACTGGCACAACGGACGTGCCAAGTTCCCTCGGGGCCTCAACGGGGACCTCTGGGTCCGTGTCGGTGCCGCTTTGAGGTCCCGCGGCCCTGGGGAGGTTTCTGTTTTGTGGACCCCCTCACACAGGGAGGACGAGCTACAGTCGGTCAAGACTGAATTCGAGTTGTTTTTGAGCCTGGGCAACGCCAGTGCCGACGCCTGGGCGGGTGCTGCGGCCCAGTGGGCCTGGGAGTGGTGTGTGCTGCCCCCCGTCCCTCGCACCGACCTGTGGGACACGACGGCGGCACTGGTGAGGCTCAGAGCTCGGAGAGCTTTGCTGATGGCGCTCGAGGTTGAACCCTGGGTTGGCGAGAGACCTGCCCGCGAGCGTCAGCAGCGTAGGCCAACCCGTTTGGAGACGGCCCTGGCCAGGAGCTCTCATGTCTTTGTCCCCTTTGCGGGACGCTGGAGGTGCAAGCTGTGCAAGAATATTATCCCGCGTAGTAGGCTCTTCCAGGTCGCCTCGACCCAGTGTCCTGGTCGGTCTCTCGCCCCGCTGTTGGACGCTGGCGGAAAAACTGGCCTTCCCGCGGAGTATGGAGAGGGTTTCGAGGCGGCCACTGGAGAAGTGCGAGTGGGTGGTGTTTTGCTGCACCCGAGCCACCAGCTCGCCAAGATGAATGCTTTTGGACTGTTCTTTTGCATGACGTGTGGGCGCACGGCCACTGCGGACGCCAGGCACCTGTCTGTGGCGTGCTCCCCTCCCACCCGCAAAGGTGGGGAGAATCTGCGCAGAATTCGGAAAGGACTCTTTCCGAGCTATCGTGGCCCACCCGTGTCCGTGATGGCCGCTCAGTCTGAAGATGCTGTGCGTTGCTCCCTCCCCGCCTGCGGCCCTCTGCAGGACGCTTCACCTGCGGGTGCCCCGTCGGCCGAAGGGAGGGAGTCTGTTCCTTTGCTTGATGAATATTTGAGAGTGGCGTCGAGACGCCACCCGTGCGACACGGCGGCCGCCATGAGCTTCGACGAGGCGCCCCGTGCTGCCGCCGCTGGCCCGCCCGCTGCCGCCGCCGCCTTGAGGGAGGTGGTGGCGGGGCCTCTGGAGTGTGGCAGCGCTGTCCCTGGGCAGCAGCGGGGCGGTGCGTCTGTGTGGGAGGAAGGTTGGGAGTGATGGCCGCGTTGCGGCGCTCAGCAGAGTCCAGCAGAGTCCTCCTCCTCCTCGTCTTCTTCCTCCTCCTCCTCCTCCTCCTCCTCCTCCTCCCCTCCTCCTCCTCCCCCTCCTCCTCCTCCTCCCCCTCCTCCTCCTCCTCCTCCTACTCCTCCTCCTCCTCCTCCTCCTCCTCCCTTTTCCACCTCCCTCCCTCCCTGTTCCACTCTCCCCCTCAAGGCTGCAGTGGTCAGCCGTGCCGTACGGTTGTAGGATGCGCTTGTCATGAAACTAGCTTAGACGCCCGTCGCCATGCACTTCACGCTTCGCAACAGGGCGCGTCGCCCAAATTGACCCTGGCGTCATGTCGCTGGGGCGGACGATGTCGCAACAGTGCACCCCGATCGGTCCGCCGTGCCACCTGAGGGCATTGACTTCCGATCCCGCTGTGCATCACAACAAACTGTACCCGGGGCTGCCGCCGCTTGTGCCGATGCTCGCCTGAATGGTTTTCAAAACTGCGAGCTTTGACGCGCAGCCACTGGCGACGTCGCACACCAGAGCGGGTTGACGACAGCGGCCGTGACATGGGCCCTCGGAACCCGCGGATGCTCTGGCGCCGTCCGGGACGTCCCTGCGGAGCCGCCTGTGGGCTAGCAGAAAGGCCGCGGCCCCGCAGGAGCTGTGGGATTGCCGCTGTTCCTATCGGGCCCCCCCCGCTGGAATTCGGTGCCCTGCTGCGCGGCCACCTGTTGGACGCCCTCAGCGGCGTGATGGACATGATCTTCGGTGGGCCCCCGCAGTAATTACTGCAGACGACGCGCGGAATCTGGCCTGGGCTGGACGCGACAGCTCAAGAATCATGCCGCGAGGCGCGTGCCCGAGCTCGCGACTGATCTTCTTCGATCTTCTTCGGCTTAACCTTTCGCTGCCCTGGTTGGCCGCTGCGTCGAAGGGAACGCCTCTGATGTGTTTTGCGCTGCAGCGGACCGCGATCCATGACGTCCGGAATATCCAGCATGCTTCACCTCAAATAGGGAGCCCATAAGGGACGTACGCGCCCATCCATGTACATGAACACGGCCCCTCGATCCGCGAGACCGGCCGCGCCATAGGAGCATTTGCGCAATGCGTACTCTCGAAACCAGCGTGGATTCATGTACGTGTGCGTCCTTTTCTCGCTCCTGATCAGACCCCGACTGGCCCAGCGGGCGCACGGCGACCTGCGGGGGAGCAGCTCGACATGGGCGGGGCTGTGCGATCCGCCCCCGGGCGAGCGCGCTCGGGCGTGGCGGGCAGGTAGCACGCGGTCGGTTCCTTTGGAGCACAGTGGACACTGCACATTGAGTGGTGAGTGGTACAGTCGAGGCGTTGACCTAAGGAACCCTAAATAAGGAGCGCGGCCCCTTTTTTCCAGAAGTTCATTTTCGATTTCCCAGACAAAAGCCTAAGGGAAACCCGAGGCAAGCTGTACAACAATCAAGGAACACCAAGCCCCTCCGCAACGAAAAGGGTTCCTTCCTCAAGGCCCCGACTGTAGGATGCCTGCAGCCCCCATGACGATTCCTATGGCGACGCCTGCTGCCTCTGCCTCATGCTGCTGCAGATAGCACCAGAGCCACGCTGGACTCGCTGCCTCCAAGCTCCAGTCGCAAGGGCACCCCATCGAAATCGAGCACCCCGCAGTCGCACACGACGGTCCCCTGCGGCGGAAAACAGGCAGACAAATGATGGGCAGTAGGGAAATCAGCGGGGAGGATAGGGGAGGGAAGAGGCGGCAAGGGGAGGGGAGGGAGAGATGAGGGAGGTGAGGGGGAATGGGAACATGGAGAAGGAGAGGAAGAGGAGAAGAAACAGTGGCCTGCCGAGGCGCCTCAGCCACTCTGGCTTGCCCTTTGCACCCCTGTCTGCGCTCGACACCCTCTCCACATTCACTTGCCCCAGGCCCCACTCCTCCCTCCCATCGTGCTCTCCTCCGTCCCCTCTCCAGCTCCCGCCGCTCCTCTCCCTCACCCTCTCCAGCTCGCGACGCGGCCTGATTGAGATAGCAGGTATCAGCCATTGCCTGCGAGCATCAGGAAGGCCGAGACAAATGTGACCGTTGGATGTCATATATTCGGTCTGTGAGCCATCATACGCAGCATTGGCTGCAAACCATCAGGATACTAGAGGAGGTGCCCACTGGTTGAGACGGCAAGGCAAATAGTGAGAGGTGATGCAGAGCAAGAGCGAGGATAGCCAGACGCTCGCCCGAGGCTTCCTACATGTGCAGCCACTGCCTGCTGACTGGTCGCACCGTCTGGCTACTTCATGCTTGCTAGATTGTCGGACGATGGCTGAGTGTCGAGGCGACCCCCCCTCCCCCTCCATCCCTCCCTCCCCCTCCTTCCTCCGCTGCCCTCTCCCCCTCGTCGCCCTCGTCGCCACAGGGCCCCGACCCTGGATGCGCCGAGGCCCTGGCCCCCATTCGACCCCCCCAATCGGCCCAGCCCTCATCCGCCGGTCAGCATGCGCAGGACACACACACACACACACGCACGCACGCACACACACACACACACATACACACACACACGCGCGCGCGCGCACGCACGCACGCACGCACGCACGCACGCACGCACGCACACACACACACACACACAAACACACACACACAAACACACACACACAGATGCGCGCAACATTCCACACGCATGCTTAAATGCATCTTCCAGAGCTCATCACACAAGGGACTACCCACGCACGGCATTCGATATGCAAACACAGCGAGCTGTGCCCAACCGCTGGCATCGTATGTCAATGCCATTCTACCTTCACGCTCATAGTCCGCTCCTTCAGGCGTCTCACATGCGGCACATTTCTAAACATCAGCGCTCGTCCGCTCTGCGCCATGTGGACAGCAGTGAACTGACCACCCAAGTTTGCCTCTGGTGGTATGAGATGCTCGACCAGCTGGGGGAACTCCTCAGCAGGTACCTGGGCGTAAATGGTGGAGAGAGGTACGTGGCGAGAGGATACGCGAAGACTAGTAACTGCCGAGTACGAATGCTCGAAGATGGATATAACGCCCACCCAAACCCAAGTATGCTCTGTGGCATTGCCAGCAACACAACACACCGATGTGGTACAACACTGACAAGTGCATGGCATCTGGAGGGTGATGCTTACACCAGATGGACACAGTTCGACCGATGCATGATGCGTGAAGCGTCGAAGAGTGACACGGGCGAGAACATATGATGCAGGTGAGGGTCAGGATGCAAATGGCTTCAAAGCAAATGCATGTACAGTTCCAGGGGTAGACAGGTGATGTGAAAAACTGAAAGATCTAATTAAGTGAGCAAGGTCGCCACACGGACGAGTGTAATCTTTGCGAGAAAAGGGGAATGTGGCGGCAAAACGTTAACGGCCGTGGCCTGTGCAAGAGAACCGAGAGGAAGCGTGCCATTAGGATGCCGTTGGTGCCAGTGTCTACTACTATGCTGACGTTCTTCGGCGCCTCGCTTGCAGCGTGGGGAAAAGTGTGTAGGGTGGATGGGAGGCGAACGAGAAGATGCCGGACAGCGACGGGAAGCAAAGAGGGAGAGGAGGAGGGCGAGGTGGAGGAGGAACAGGAGGACGAGGATGGAGGGTGGATCGTCTGCAAGCCGCCAGCCGCACGACCTGCGGTAACGTAACTCCGCGCCCTGCGCTGCGAGGGGTGCGAATGGCGGCGCTCTCGCGCCACCCATGGACGGCTAGGGGGGAACATGGAGGGAGGAGGGGGAGGGGCACGGGCGCGGCGAGCGGGGGAGGGAAGGGCAGGGAGGCGGGAAGGAAGAGAGGGAGGAGCGAGGGCCAGGGAGCGGATGCAGGGACGGGCGGGGGAAAAGAGGGGGGGGGGGGGCGAGAAACACTACGGGGTCCAAGACGCGAATGCATCGCTGAGCTAGCGACCATGCAGCGAACATCATTGGCCATGCGATGGGCCGCGCAGAGCGCGCAGTACGTGCCCAGACAGATCTCCCTGGCCACAGTGGCCGGATGTGGCCGGCTGACCGTGCTCAAGCCCCCTCTCATTTCTCCTGCTCTGTCGCTCCCTCCCCCTCCCCCTCCTCTCCTCCTCCTCCTCCTCCTCCTCCTCCTCCTCCTCCTCCTCCTCCTCCTCCTCCTCCTCCTCCCTCCCTCCCTCCCTCCCTCCCTCCCTCCCTCCCTTCCTCCCTCCCTCCCTCCCTCCCTCCCCTTCCCCCCCGTCGCAGCGGAGCAGGGAGGGGACACCCTGGCCAGGGACCGCCTGCCCTGCTGGCGATCCAGACAAATCCGCCGACCTCCGTTCTCGCCATCGCTCGGACGTCCATTCCCTGTGTTTTTTTCTGGTTCGTGCGTGTTTTTTTCGCGAAATGGTCAAGGATGCTCCTCGATGGTCCTCGCCGAAAGAAAAATGCACACGTCCGAGCGATGCCAGGTGAGACATTCGACTGCCCCCCTCCCCCAAGGTCCGAAATCGCATCCGACGGGGGGGGGGGGGCCCGGGATGCACGAGCTCGTCAGCACACCCCTGGCGACTCCAGAGCCTCCAAATCTGCATTCCGTGGCCTCCAGGATGACCCCAAGACGCCATTCAAGCTGGCTCAAGCTGGGCTCTAACATGCCGAAGAAACATCAAAACACAAAAGATGGCCTCAAGACGGCCCCAGAGGCCTCCAAGACGCCCCGAGAGGGCACCAAGCGGACCCTGGAGATAGCCCCCAAAATCCCGTCGTCAGACGTACATGTTCAGCGCAGTCGCTTTTTTGGTGCCAAACATCGCCCAGAATGGTCCAAAAAGGTCCCGACGATCGCTCCCTAACACGGCCCGAGAAGCCCCCTGCACGGCCCAAGAGTGCCCCAAGACGGCCCAAGGTGCGCCCACCACGGCCCAAGGGGGCCCTAAGAGGAGGAGGAGGAGGAGGAGGAGGAGGAGGAGGAGGAGGAGGAGGAGGAGGAGGAGGAGGAGGAGGAGGAGGAGGAGGAGGGGGGCCCAGAAGAGTTCCTTCGAATGGACACGTCGAGCCCTCCGCCCCAGGAGGAGCCCCGAGGCCGCCGGCGGGCGCCCCATTACCAGCCTCGCACGTGTGCCTATCCCTAAGCTTGACACGCCAAAAGGCGATGACAATCTCAGGGAGTCGCCCTCAAAAGTAAGGGAACCCCTAAGATTGGCATCGTGATGAGGAGGTGCCCAGCATAGGGATAGGGAGATGTTCCAGGCTGGTAACCCGAGAAGCCCCCCAAGAGACCAGAGGAGTCTTCGACGAGGCTTTAAAAAGAACCCCCCAAAGGCCCCAAACGGTCCCCTCAGAACGCTTCGCCTGTGGATTTCTTTCCTCTTCAGGAGGAGGAGGAGGAGGAGGAGGAGGAGGAGGAGGAGGAGGAGGAGGAGGAGGGGGGATCGGCGGAATGGCGTAAACCTTGTGAATCCACGTCCGGAAGTGACGTGCTGGGCAGCAGCGTTTTTCTGTGGAGGCGAGAATGCAACGTATCCACTGTATCCAATCGTCGTACACTTGCCACATATTGTATTGTGTTACATTATTATGTCTTCCCCCTAACCCCCCCTTGGAGTCGCGCCACTCCGCCGACCCAAGATGTATGCCCCCATTCTCGGGCTCTCGAAACCAATCAAAAAACCATATGACATCGACGATTTGGGCCTCTGGGGCCTCTTGGGACTCCAAGAGGGCCTCAAGATGGCCAAAATTGGCCCCAAGACGGCCCCAAAATGGACCTGGATGATCCCAAGAAGGCCCGTGAAGCCCCCAAGACGGCTCAAGGGGTCCCCAAGAGGACTCGAAAGAGCGCCTCCAGAAGCCAAGATCATTGACTTCCCGTTGTTTTTCGACAGATTTTAGCGTTCTCGCCTTTATCGGCTCTCAGAAGACCATGACGGCCCAAGCAGCCTCCAAGAAGACCTCAAGACGGCCAACGAGGCTCCCAAAAGGGCCCCAGGATTGCTCAAGAGGGCCCCGAGACGGCCAAAAGAGGCCCCGGGCCCCCAAGACGGCCCAAGAGGACTCCAAGAGAGCCCTAAGGCGGCCGCGAGAGGCCTCCAAGATGGCCTCGGAAAGGGCCAGACGGCGCAAGAGCGCCCCAAGCCGGCGCAAGACGTCAACAAGAAGCCCCGAGAGGCCCCAAAGCGGCCCCAAAGATGCTCCAAGAAGCCCCCACGACGCTTTCAAGAGGCTCCCAAGAACCCCCCATGAGGCCGCCCAGAAGCCCTGGGGATTGCAGGACGGAGCGGCACGCACGCGCGGCAGCCAAGCAGGTCACGCCAACCAACGCCCACACCTTCCACATTTGAGCACTTTTCCACAGCGGCGATTACGGCCGCGAAAGGCCCCAGACAGGCCTCGAGAGGCCCCCAGACCGGCCTCCGAATTAGCCACACGCGGCAGGAGCGCCCCAAGACGGCCCAAGACGCCCCCAAGAGGCTCCAAGAGGCCCCGAAAAAGCCCAGTGCAGAAGAGGCCCCAAGAAGCCCCGAAAACACCTCCAAGAGGTTACAAAGAAGCTCCCAAGAGGCCCCGCAACGACTGGACTGTACGTGCTCCAGACGTGCATCCCGCGAAGCGAGAGGAATCCACGTCCGGAAGTGACGTGTTGCTGGAGGCAGGTCCGCGGATGCTGTAATGCAACGTATCGAATCGATCCACACATTGCACATATTGTATACTTGCTACATGGTGTATTGTCGCGGAGCGGAGCGGTAGCTCTAATGCAACACATACAATGTACCCAATGATTGCACGATTGCCATGTTTTCCATTATTTCAAAATGGTACATATCGTACTGTATTGCATTATTCTGCCTCCCCCCCTACCCCCCCTGGAGCCGCGCCACAGCGCCGTACCAAATGTGGAGGCCCTCAGTCTGGGGCCCCAAACCTACAATAACCGATGGAAAATCAGCAAATTCGGCCTCTTGCTTGGGACTCCAAGAGGGCGTCAAAATGGCCCAGGATGGCCAAGACGGCCCAAGACGGCCCCAAGGAGCGCCTCCAGAGGCCAACATCATTTTTTCTGTTGGTTTTTGAAATGCTTTAGCGTGCTCGCCACTTTCGGTTCTCAGAAGACCATGACTGCCCAAGAAGCCTCCAAGAAGACCCTAAGACTGCCCAAGAGGCCCCCAAGGGGGCCCCAAAACAGCCCAAGAGGGCCCCGAGACTGCCAAAAAAAGCCCCCGAGACGGTCCAAGGCTGCCGCAAGAGGCCTCCAAGATGGCCTCCGAATGGCCAGACGGCGCAAGAGCGCCCTGAGATGGCGAAAGACGTCCCCAAGAAGCCCCAAGAGGCCCCAAGTGGCCCCAAAGACGCCCCAAGAGGCCCCCAAGAGGCTTCCAAGAGGCTCCCAAGAGCCCCCCAGGAGGCCGCCCAGAAGCCCCAGGCCTCAAGACTGGACAAGACGGCCCCATGACGGTCCAAATTGGCACAAGATGGCCCCAAGAGGGCCCATGAGGTCCCCAAGACGGCCAAACAGGCCCCAAGAGGATCCCGAAGAACGCCTCCAGAGGCCAAAATTATCCCGGCAAAGCAACCTAACAGCGATGTGTAGAAGCATATATGGAAACATTCCCCTTAAGATCCAGATGAGAATCCAGTTGTAGAATTCTCCTGTTCTCGCAGTCGCAGTCGCATTCGCGATGACAGTCGCAGTGGCAACGGCAGTCACAGTCACAGCCTCAGCCTCAGCCTGCCTCAGTATCAGCCTGCCTCAGCCTCAGCCTCAGCCTGCCTCAGCCTCAGCCTCAGCCTGCTTCAGCCTCAGCCTCAGCCTCAGCCTCTGCCTTCAGCCTCAGCCTCAGCCTCAGCCTCAGCCTGCATCAGCCTCAGCCTCAGCCTCAGCCTCAGCCTCAGCCTCAGCCTCAGCCTGCCTCAGCATCAGCCTGCCTCAGCCTCAGCCTGCCTCGGCCTCAGCCTCAGCCTGCTTCAGCCTCAGCCTCAGTCTGCCTTCAGCCTCGGCCTCAGCCTCAGCCTGCCTCAGCCTCAGCCTGCATCAGCCTCCTCAGCCTCAGCCTGCCTCAGCCTCAGCCTCAGCCTCAGCCTCAGCCTCAGCCTGCCTCAGCCTCAGCCTGCCTCAGCCTCAGCCTCAGCCTGCTTCAGCCTCAGCCTCAGCCTCAGCCTCAGCCTCAGCCTGCCTCAGCCTCAGCCTGCATCAGCCTCAGCCTCAGCCTGCCTCAGCCTCAGCCTCAGCCACAGCCTGCCTCAGCCTCAGCCTCACCCTGCCTCAGCGTCTGCCTCAGCCTGCCTCATCCTCAGCCTCAGCCTCAGCCTCAGCCTCAGCGTCAGCCTCAGCCTCAGCCTGCCTCAGCCTCAGCCTCAGCCTCAGCCTCAGCCTCAGCCTCAGCCTCAGCCTCAGTCTGCCTCAGTATCAGCTTGCCTAAGCCTCAGCCTCAGCCTGCCTCAGCCTCAGCCTCAGCCTGCTTCAGCTTCAGCCTCAACCTTAGCCTCAGCCTCAACCTTTTCCTCAGCCTCAGCCTCAGCCTGC